AAGTTTCTGGTTACTTCCTATCACATTTTCATGTGTTCCTCAGCTAATTTGTGCTTCTTTTCCTTCTTTCAGTTTCTTTAGCTAATTTTTCTCTTTTCATTCAGCAAAAAAAGCATCCCCACTTTGCTGTTTCTCCGAAACAGCTTTTTCTAGTTTTAGTTTAATGTCCAAAGTGAGAGACATAACCTAAAAAAAATCCAGAAATCGCAATATATGATTTTATAACTATTTATTCGTAGGATACAGCTGCAAGTAAGTATTTTAACAGCTGTCTATCAGGGGTCTATGTCTCTAACCTGTCTGTGTCTTTGAAAGGGGGGTCGTTAAAGCGACATTGACAGATTTTGGGTATTACAGTCTAGCAAAGAAACCAAACGACCCCCATTCCAAAGGGGTGGACCTGCTCGTCCGGGTCTATTTGTATGTTTTCTAAGCTAATACAAGGCTTTGTTGTAGTCCATCCTATAAAACCTCGAACTCAACACTATTTCTTACATTTTGAATTGAAAACGCTTCCTGGATGGGAAGAGAAGCGTCTTCAAATTTGGAAACAAAGTCCAGTGGATTGTTTTTTTTTTTTTACTTTTTTTTGAATGACTGTGACCTGGATGACTGTGAATCTTCACCAGCATCTGCAGCCTTTAGTTTGCCCAAAACTGATATCATAGCTTATGGCACCAAATAATCAAACATCAATGATGCATTCCTTCGTGAGAAAGGTTGTTAGAACATCAATGTTATATTGTTTCTGAACAGCTAATGATTAAGAACCTGGAACCAACTCAAACTAATGAAACATGAACATTCATAAACATGAACTTAGTCATTGATATACCAGGTCATTAACTGAACAAAGACCGAAACACATGATGCACCACTTAATAACTCAAATGTAGCCCTCTTGACAGTGGTGTCTAATGAGGATGTAGAAATGGATGATAATTCGAAAGGTTGGTGTTTTCTGCCCCCTATTGGTACATGTTGGGAAGCTTCTTGTGCAGCTTTGCCTTGGCCAAGTCAGCAGAAAGTCTTCTGGCCATATGATCTGTGGTCCTTTTCATGATGCGGGCAACCTCAATAGCCTGGTCAAGAGTCCTGTTTATGTCCTCCTCCTGAAAAAAATAGAATCTCTTAGGTAAGGTTCATAATATATATAT